TCTACGTAACGTGGAGCTGAGGAGCCTTACAACAGAGGGTATCACGGACCTCGTGCCAAACAGGAATTTGGCTGAGACTCCCTCTTGACCCTTTGTGAGGAGTGTCTCCATTGGCAGGAACAGGCTCCGACGAGTGGGGGCAACGTGGGATGCATAGCAGTCAGGAGGGAGGTGTTTTGGGGCGAGTGGGAAACGGGGCAGCACACACTGACATTGCCTTTCTGCTTTCCTGGCAGTCGAGCGGCGTGGCGGCGCTCATTGCTGTTCTGGTGCTGCTGCTGCTGGTGGCCCTCGGTCTGCTCTGGTGGTTCTGGCCCCTCTGCTGCAAAGTGGTGAGTAAAGACTGTCAAAAACTGTCCCTGCATGCGTGGTGGTAACTCGTACCGTGTTGGGAGGCACCGATACCATAGGAGGCAGGTTAAGTGACAGCAGAGCTGCGTGTGACAGAAGCCAAGGGAGATTTCTTTTGTTAGCAATAGCAATAAATGGAAGAAGAGGCCAGCTCCAACACCGTGCACTGCACTCTAGCAGGACTTGTGGCTTCCTGAGCCCTGCAGACACGGGGGCCAGCACCAGCGTGCTGGTGTGCCGCTCACTGGCTGGCTGCTGAGCGAGCAGATGTGCTGTATTTCTGTGAAATCTTCCATAACAGCCTCCTCTGTGATTGGAAAGTTGTTGGCCATAATGGTATGCAGATGTCACTCTGAAATCGAGGACCTTTTTAAAAGTACTATCACTGAAATTGGTATTTGTAGTCCATTACGGGCTCTCAAGTTGGAAATCCCTCATTGTCTCCGTAATCCCATGCACACATTGCCTCTCTTTCACCCGGGTACCCGCTGTATCCTTGCAGCAGCGGTGGGCAGTGCTGCTTCCCTTAAAACAGCACTGGGGTTCTTCAGCTGGCGCAGGTGATAATTCGTCCTGTTCAGTGACAGCGCCGAGGACCTGAGCAGTGGAGTGGGCTTCCAGGCTGTTACTTGTGCCTGGTCTTTGCCGGAAGGTCCGTGCACACTCACAGGCTGGGGGGGACTCCTTCTTCTCCCCCTCCTCCTTTTTGTAAAGGCAGTTCACTGTTGACAGTTCTTTCACTCTTTC